GCAAGACCGCCTCTGCGAGTCTTAGTGTACAGAGCTTCACCCTTCTCCTACCTTCTCCCCTTTGGCCCGGAGGAGGGCCTGGATCAAACACCCTGGAGAAGCAGGGCAGCATAAGTGAAGCTTACCAGAAAAAGAGCCCCATCAGCGCGGAGTGGATGCATTTGTGGCCATTCTCCTCCTTGGAATTCATACAGAATTCCATTATCGGCTCTGGACAGCAGCTCAGGGACCATCTTGTCTCATGCCCATTTGACAGACGAGAAAGCTGGAGCCCAGAAGGGGGAGCAGAGGGAGCAGAGCCGGGGCTAGAGTTGGGCTCCTGACTCTCATGCTCCTTCCTAATCACAGGCAGCAAACCCTGCAAATATGATGCCTCATTCCCTCTACAGATGTGCAGAGTGAGGTGCAGGTGCGGGGCAATTCTGCCAGCCACCTGGACCAACACAGCACTGAGATCCACACCCACACACCAGTAGCTCCCCTCCTTCCTGACGGGCAGAGCAAGGCTGAAATGTGGAGGATACCGGCGCAAACTAAGGAGGGCAGGAGGGCTGAGCCTGCAGTCCCCACTAGGGAGACCTGTTAATTCAAGCCTGGGGCTCCTGGGGAGGCAGGCAGTGGGCCATGTGGATCTGAGACCCTCCCCAGCTCCTCCACACGGTGACCTTGTGGTCTTGAACCAGTCATTTCAGCCCCATTTGTAGAATGGGGCATAACAGAGTCTTCTCCCATGAGGCCGTGGTGAGGCGTAGATGAGTAAAGCTACGTAAATTAAAATAGACAACAATTATCATGTGAAGTTACTACACGTGTAACTGCTCTGTAACAGGCACTGCTCGGAAATACTTTATGGATACTTTATCATTTAACCATCACCCTCGTGAGACAGGCCCTGCTAATGCCCCCATTTTACAGATGAGGAAACAGAAGCACCAAGGACCACACCGGTGGCAAGTGGCAGAACATGGATTTGAACTGAAAACAGGCTGACTCTGAATCCCTCTAGCTAAAGCCCCTGGAGAGGCCAGCTTCTGTGCAGGGTGAGTGTTTAGAACAGTGCCAGGCACGCAGAGCTGCTCAGTAATGCTGCTGTTGATAGAACAATAATTATTATTGTCGCTGGGGACACTTGCCACCAGCAGTGCTATCTTCCCAAAAGTCAGAAGAATGACTATCCTGACGTGTTTTACAAAATGTATCAGTTCTTTAGAAGGAAGGGAGTAGTTAGCAAGTGCTCAAGAGAAATGCTTGTTGAACCGAAACATTTTATGGTCTTTTAGAAAACATGAAAAGAAGGTGGGAGAAAACCCATAGGCCTCCCGTTCTCCTTTCACTTTTCTAGGCATGTTTATTTTTATTTTGGTTCCTAGTTGCGAATGTGCTATGAGAGAATTCTGGATTCTACATCTTTCCCTTAACATAATTCCATGAGCCCTTCTCTTGTATGATGATTTTTAATGACTACAGAATAGTCCATCAGACAGGTGTCTTCTTCATAGCCCCCTCTCCATTTTCTCCAGTGTGGGGTTTTTATTCCAGACTCTGCTGCTGCAACAAACATCCCCGAGAGTAAAGTCCTTTACTTATTTGATGTGATTTGGAGAAATTAGTTACTCATAGTGGACTTCCTGGAACCAGGAAGCCAGTGTTAGGGGAAGTTTAGGGGACAGAAGGCCCTTCTCAGTGTCCCAGCCGTTGTGTATTTCATCCGTGCTTCAGGCCTCCCCACCCTGTAGGTATTCTTGAACCTCACTTTCTGGGCCGAAGGTTTCTTCTTATCTGCTAAAGGTGTCCATGCCACCTTCCAACTGGAGGACAGAGACCTGGGTATCTTATGCTCAACCTGGCACTGGTGGTCTACAGGACCTTGGATGTGTCACTTCTGGGGGGGGTTACCTCTCCATCCTGCCCAGTGAGAAGCCCTGATGACAGAGAGCCCAATCCCAGCTCTGTCCCTAAGACACCGTGAACCCTCAGTGTCTTGGGAAGCCCCCTGGGCTCAGTGTCACTGTCTCTTTGTAGGAGATGGGAATGGTAGAACTGTCAGGCCGGCAGAGGGGAGCTCATGGGCACCCAGGTGTCTTTATGATTTTATTTATTTATTTGAAAGAGAGAGAGAGAGCACAAGCAGGGGGAGGGGCAGAGGGAGAGGGAAAAGCAGGCTCCCCACCGAGCAGGAAGCCCAATGTGGGGCTCCACCCCAGGACCCTGGGATCATGACCTGAGCCAAAGGCAGATGCTTAACCGACTGAGCCACCCAGGCACCCCTCACCCAGGTGTCTTATCTACCCCACTGGACTAAGCACCACTAGAAGAAGTCTGAGCTCAGATGTCACCTCTTCCAGGAGACCCTTGCTAGCCACCCTGGCTAGGCATCGTCATTCTCCATCCCCTCATCCAGTTTTATGCTCCTCACAGCACTGAGCAACTATTTGAAAGGATATTGTTGATATCAGCATTTCCTTCCTCAGTGTCCAGCCACGGTCCCTTGAATGTCACCTCCAAGAGAGCAGGGATGAGGACTGTGTCACCACTTATTCCACAGAACCCCACAAATACGTGGGGTACTCCAGGCACACTGTACATATAGAAGCCACATGTATTGAGCACCCACTATATGCTGGGCACCATTCCAAGCCTTTTATATATAGCAACTCTGGTAATACTGCCAAGCCCCTGAGCTAATAGCAGTTATTATTCCCATTTTATAAAGGGGGAAAGTGAGGCACAGAGCAGTTGAAAAACTTGCCATGGTTCCACTGCTAGTAAGGAAGGGGAGCAGGGATGTCCCACTGCACATCGTAAGAGTATGCTGAGCCAAACATGGGACAGAGTCTCTGTCCCCACGAAGCTCAGGGGCTAAAAGGCAAGCTGGGCTAGTCCTCAATATAGGAAGTCAGGATACTTCCTAGAGGAAGCTATCCCTCAGCTAAGCCCTGAGGACAAATAGGGGTGTGCTAGGATGAAGTGGAGGGAAGAACAATCTGAGGAGAGGAAACACTGTGGAGGCCAAGAGATAAGCCAGTGAGCACCAAGCCTGAAGAAGTAGAAGCGGCTTGTGTGGCTGGAGTAGGGGATACAGGGGTGTGCCATGAGTCAAGGGGTATGATCGTTTCAATCCTCAGTGACTAAGGTTAAAAAAAAAAAAAAAAGTCCCAGGGAGCAAAATGTGAGTCAATATAGCTGGGAAGATGGGCAATGCCCACCCCAACCCCCAAGATCATGCAGGGCCTTGGCAAGCTCAAGGGCCCAAATTTTATTCCAAGATTCTGCATCATACCTCAAAGACTGTGTGCACCCCTCACTCAGTGGTGGCCAAAGGCCACACAAGGGTTTCTGGAAATTTCTGCTGACTCACTGTGGGACCTCAGGCTCCTCCATACCCTCTCTGGGTCTTAGTATCCTAGCTGGTATTGAATGACCCAGTCCCAAAACACATCCCCACTCCATCAGCCTGGCATCCCATAAACAAAATGCTGTTGACCAATGAGATCCTCGCATTCCTGGAGTCTGATTCTGGGACTCTTGTGCACTGGCCATCCCATACTTGCTGAGGCCAGCCCACCACCATGGCACTTTGCCAAGCAGTCTCTGGGAAGGGGGTTGAGTTCTCCTGCTCCTCGTTCCTCCAAGATACAGGAGGTCCCCCAGGTTTTGGCCGGATGGTGGTGGGGGGGTTCTGCTCAGATCCTCCTGGAGACAAAGGAGCTGACCTGCAAAGAGTTCCAGCGGGAGCCCCGCTCCCCCTCCCTTCCCCCCCTCTCCCTTCTCAGTCCACGTGTCTCTATTGTCTGCTCCCCGCTTCAGGGAAAGACACAGCCTCGGATGTGTCAAAACCACCACCCCCCGGCAGCAGGGAAATTAATTACTGGACGATTTTCACTTCCTCTTGCAGCGCCTGCCTGAGCTAGGCACCGGAACAGGACCGGCTGAGTGGGGCCGGCATCCGCATCGGGGACTTGCTGCCCCCACCAGTTCTGGGAGAAGAAAGTTGAACCCCAAACCCAATAGGGGGCTTCAGTGGGAGGTCAAGCTGGGGTGGGGGTGACGACTTCCTCTAGTTAAAGCTGAGTGTCCACACTGGCCACTTCTGAATTGCGGGAAAGGGAGAGGACTGGAGGCAGGAGGGTCGCGGCTGGCGAGCTCACACTCTTTTCTTTGCATCCCCTTCCGTGTCCCCATGTGCCTGAACCCCGCCTGCCCGGACCACTCTCTGTCCTTTCCCCTCGGCTTCTCCCTCTACCTTACACTTTTCTTTCCCTTTCTTTGCATCCCTGAGGGGCTTTCTTTTTGTGTGTCTGGATCTCTCTCTGTCTCCCATGGGTGTGTGAGCGTGTGTTGCTACTTCTTTCCATCTCTGTTTTCCTTCTCTGTTCCTCTCTTGTGTCTTTTTGTCCTCATCTCGGTCTCTGTTTCTACCTCTTTCAGTGTGTGTGTCTCTCTTTCTCTGTATGTCTCTTTCTGTCTTTCTCCGTGTATCTCCTCTCTCCTCTCTCCCTCTCTCTCCCTCCCCCCCCCCACTCCTCTTTCTCCGTCTCTCTGTATCTCTGCGCCTTTCTCGCCCTCACTTTCTCCCCTCCTGCCTGCCCGCTGCTCCCTGCGCCTGGCCTGCCCCCACCGCTGCCGGTTCAGGGGAACGTGTGCGGAGCGATTGTCCTGGGGGACATTTGATGGATTAGAGCGCTGAACAGTTCCATTGCTAGGGGACCACCTGATCTCCTCCAGCCTGCGTCCCATATAAAGCCGGCAGCCGGAGTGCTGAGCACAGCTCCAGCGATCGCCTGTCTGCGCGCCGCCGCCGCCAAGCCCGAGCGGGAGCCCGAGCCAGAGCCGGGGCCGCCGCCACCGGTGCCGGCTCCGCGCTGCCGCCCGCCTGCCGGCCCGCTGGGAGCTGTCCAGTGCTGAAACCCCGCGCAAACAGCCAATCGCGCCCGGCTGGCCGCCTCCCCCCACCGGGGCCCCACGCAAGTGCCCCCGCCGAGCCCCCAGCCAGCCGCACCATGCCGCGCTCCTTCTTGGTAAAGAAGATCAAAGGGGACGGCTTCCAGTGCAGCGGGGTGCCGGCCCCCACCTACCACCCCTTGGAGACCGCCTACGTGCTGCCTGGCGCCCGGGGGCCGCCCGGGGACAACGGTGAGTAGGACCCGGCGGGGGGGGGGGCGCTGGGGGGGAGAGGGAGGGGAGTTCGGGCCCTCCCCAACTCGGGCCACGAGGAGGGGTGCGCGCGGCAGGGAACCCCGGGAGGAGATTTCCCTGGCTGTGTGCTCCTCCCGGGCTTCCTGAGGGCCGGGCGGGCGGGGCAGGGGCTAGGTTCCTACAAAGGGAAAGTCGCAGGGTCGATCCATCCCACAGCCACGCGCCAGCCCGGACTTTGAAAGTTGTGGCCCTAGAACGTGGCTGGAGTGAGGGTTGCTGAGAGAATGGAAAGAGAGAGAGGCACCTACGAAGGGCTAATGCTGGGGGGCTAATGCATAAGGCAGTCTGAGGGTCCCCTCTCCCTGGTGGAGGGAAGGAGGCTAGCTGCCTGAGTGTACTGCCCTGGTGGGAAAGATAAGCGAGCCAGGACTACCAGTCCCTGGGGAGACAGGGCTGGCTCCTTGGGTGTAGCGGGGGGGGGGGAGGCCCTCCTTCCCTTCAAGCCTGCTCCCCCTGGCGATGCCAGACAAGTGTTCCCAAGCCCCCTCTCTCAGCAACTCTTTTGTTACCCTCAGCCACATGCCTGCCAAAGGCTGGGCCTGTCCTGGGGGCAGCAAGGAAGAGGGGATTTCTAGGAGGGGTTCCCCCAAAGTGGCTCCTGGTCCCCTGGGCTGCACTCCCTCCCCACTCCAGCTTCTCAACCTCCTCCAGAGCCAGCCCTGCTGCTCCTTATAAGTTCCCCACCCCCAACACACTCCATCTCTTCTCAGAGCAAGTTCCTGCAGGGACAAGGGTTTGAGGGACAAGAGAGGTCATTCAGCCTCAGAAGGGGGTGATCTCTGAAGGGTGTGGAGAAGAATCAGAGACTGCTTCTGTAGACCCCATCCCCCATCAAGGGGATCACAAATCACAAAAGGGTTCTCCTATCATGGCCCATACCAGGCAGGTGTCTGGAGAAGAGACATCCCTTTGGCAGTAAGAAATCTGACATCACATGTGGCATCAGCTTTGGGGTGTGTGGGGAGGGGAGGATGAAGGAGAAGAGGAGAGGGGAGGGGAGGGGAGAAAAAGAAGAGAAGAAAGGGTTGAGGATGTGGGGGGGAGCTGAGGTGGTGAAGGCGGAGCCCGGGAGGGTGGGAGTTTCCACCTTAGGGATTTCCAAGCACTTCACCCACATTCCATCACTCTATCAAGCCAGGTAGCAAGAGGACGCTGGGCAAAGGGCTCTGTGACCTCATCAAGGTCAAAGAAATTAGGGAGTGATCAGGGATACAGCTACAGCCCCTCAGCCTCAGGCCTCCCCCAGATCCCTCAGAGAACCAACCCCCTTTTCCTTTGCCCATATGTCCCTTATTCTACTGTTCTCTCTTCTTGACCCAGGCCCTCTTGGGGTCGAGGACAGGGGCCCAGGGATATGGCTAGGCTTGTCTGAGTGCTGGCAGGACAGAGGGTGGACCTGGGACGGTGCCAGTGCTGGGGAGTGTGTGTGCTAGGATCTGGGTAGAAACTGAAATGCCTGCAAGACTAGGACGTGGATCCCTTGGGGGACCGACACAAAGCCCTGGGCTCCCACCCCCTGAAGCCTCCATGGTCCTGTTCCCAGGCCAGTTGAGGAAACCCAGAGAAGCTTAGAGAATTTATGCACAGCCCAAACTGCAAACTATTCCTCAGGAGGGAGGCAAGAGTGCCTTGCTTTGATTTCTGTCCCAAAATGCTTTGAAAGGAGCCCTTGAGTGAATGGTGGGGTCAGGGCAAAAGTTGGGGCAAAGCTATCAGCAGGGGTGTTCCCATGGGGGTTCCACCGGGTTTGACACCCTAGAACCACCCCTGTCTTTGGCCCTCTCCCCCAAAGGGCTCTAGGCCAGCTCCCTAGCCTCCAGAGAATTCTGAGGCTGTCCTGACAGTCTGATATCTGGCCTGGAACTCTGGGAGACTAGGTCTCTGACTCGCTGTGTGACCTTGGGCAAGTGTCTTCCCTTCTCTGGTCCTCTGTCTCCCCAGGAGTGGAAGAGTTTGGATGCTGAACCAAGTATCCTTCCGACTTTGACAAGCTCAGCTTTTGTGAAGGTCAAGTGTGAGATGGGAGGCACTGGAGATGCCTGGATGAGGGTCTAACAGAATGCAGGGGGCCATTGTCAGGATTTCTGTAGGATTCTGTTTACCATCCAATGCCTAGCTGAGGGTGGCAAAGTTTCTGAGACCAGGTATTTCTTGGCTTCATTCTCTGCAGGATGCCCCACAGTGAGGACAGGCACCCTGGTCTAGCTGCTTTGGCAGTGTCTGCAGGAAAGGGTTAGTGCCAGAGACCGGGGGGTGACCCTTCAAGCCTGGGTATGGCTGGGAAACACAGGGACTGCCTCATCCTATTTTCAGGGGCCTCTCTCCTATCCCTGGGGTGTGGCTAGACTGGACAGTGAAGGCTCCCTCATCCCATGGGTGGGCAGGGTGCTGGAGGTCCTTAGAGAGTCTGCTGGCTCCTAGTGGCCCGTTGTCTCCGCTCTGCCGGAAATAACCTTGCTGAGCGTTTGAGGGAAGTGTGAAAAATTGCTGAGCCGACGTTTTTCTCTCCCAGCGTGTGTAAGTGTGCTGGGTAAACAAGGAGAAAGAGAGGAGGGGGGGAGGTGAGGAGATTGAGGGAGGGAAGGAGGGAGGGAGGAGGAGGGAGGGGGAAGGGGGGAAGGGCCTGGGGCTGGAGATAGTTCCAGTTATTAGAAAGATCCTCTTACAAGCCATTCCTGCAGCAACGGCTACAGGGTCAGGATGAGGCTGGTGGGAGGGGAAGCTGGGGAGGGGTGTGGGGAGGGGGCCTGTGAATGTGGAGGTCAGGAGAGCCACAGGCTCCCAACTGATGGAAGGCGCAGGGCCCCAAATAAAAGAGGTGTACTCCCAGCTCAGGGAATGCCTGGGAGTGCTGAGGATTCCTGGAGGACTCCTCCTCCTCCTCCACACACACACACACACACACACACACACACACACACAC